AAGAAAGATGACAGTTATCTCGGCGTAGTTGCGTGAGTACTTGTGAAAGTACACTGCTAGCCCAAGGGACTTTCGAGATCCCTTTACATCGACTGGCACAGTCCAGTCGGTGATCACCTTGATCTTTTTTGGATAAGGGCGTACGCCGTTATTATCCGCAATACAGCCATGAAGTGGTATCTCGCTCGATGCGAATATACATTATTTGAGGGTCGAGAACAGCTTGTGCTCATGCACAAGTGTTAGAACTTGCCGGACGTGTATTCTATGAATCTCCACGTCCGTCTTTTCATCCACAACGTGGCTATGGATGGACATATCATCAAAGGAAATTGGTGCAAATTCCCACACTGATCGCTGCAGATTCGTAACATATCTGTCGAACGTTGCAAGGGCATTGCTTAGTACTTGTGGCATCACTAGCCAATCCTAGAGCATACCGCTGGGGGTGCTCACTCGTTTGTACGGGATGTCCCGTTCACACATGGTGATCTGATGAACTCATCCATCGGGTGCATGAACGAGAAGATGGTACTTTTTGCCGTACCATTTAAGATGACGTCCTTTCTTGGTGTCGGCGTTCTGAGCCGGTAACGTTTCAGCGTTCAATTTTTAAATGATTACACTGTCTCCCATCTCACTGTGGCTTTCACACACAAAATTGGAGAGCTGTGAGAGGAGGTTAACTCTCTTATGTGTCCCGCTGCAAATCGATCGGCAACGGAATTGTCGATCGCTGTGACCTGTTCACGAGGCAGTGACCACTGATTCATGACACAGTAATGAGAATCGGGTTTTAGTTCGATCTCATGCCGAGTGCCTTTGTCCTTAGGCACCTCGTATGGTACGGATTCAGGGAAACATCCCTATATTCGACCAAATCCTTGTGCAAAGTATTTGTCTTTAAAGACTCCCAAGATTGAGACTTGTATCACTTAATCTGGGTCTTCTCACAAAGAGCAATTTCTTCAATCAATGAGCTACGATATTTGTTCGTTCTCGGCAAATACAACTGCCGACCGAATATTGGTAGCGTACTCGTCCTCTGCGACGAGTATACAGATCTGCTTGACTTTGCCACTATGCATATCTCGCAGGAATTGTTTCGGTTCTAGCGTTATCAATTGTGTGATCTCCGAGGTCAGCTTCGGAGACGCGATCAGATCAGATGCATAATCGCCTACACTTGACCCGTCATCGACCAAGACATTCGATGTCTCGGTTTCTTCCTGGAAACTATTTTTACAGGATGCTGAGGGCTTTTCCCTCAGTTTGATGAGTTCTTGTTACCTAAGTTTTAGCTGCATGAGGAATTCTTTCCTCAAGTACGTACGGAATAATTTCCTCAACGTCTTTTAGCTGTAGTTGGGCTACCACAGCTTGGTCTTCTACGATCAACCCTCCAGCCGATCTAGTATCATCGTGTTTCCCCGTGTGGGCAACTAGTTACTCTTTCTTAGATGGCGCCCGCTAGTCGCACCACATGTCCAGATCCACTCGACTTCTTCAATTGGTGGACCTTTGGTGCTTCCTGAGCATCCGCACAGATGCCGGCAGCTTCCTCCACAGTGTGATTGGTTGTGGCACTGTTATCTCTTGCAGTCGTTCAAACGGTCGTACCGCAAGTGAGGACATCGCAATTTCTCGCACTACATCCACACGCTTGTAGAATCTCCAAGACGTTTATCGGATGGCCATTGGATAAACAAACGACAGGCATTTTCACGGATTATGTTGCCAGCTGATTAATGGCTGGTATCTTTTAAACCAAGACAAACCGAGGATGAAATCAAACTTGTCGACCAAATCCGGTACGATGAAATCATCATCATGCTGCAAATTTTCTAGTGTGTAGTGGATTCCCATTACACGTTTAATCAAAGTTATCGATGCGCCTGTTGCTAGGCGCACCGTCATCCTCCTCGGAAGGATTTCGCTCAACAAAATTGAGCCTAAGATCCTCTGGCGACTGGCGACGAGCAAATTTGTCAGACGCCCCACAGTCTACAAGTTCACTAAGTGACAAATTTTCTGTCACTTCTAACTATAAGGTGTATGAGGGGTACCTCATCACCAAGTGCAGTGATACATAGTGATTGTAAGTCTGAAGCAAATTTCATTAAGATACTGCAAATTTTCTTGAGATCGCTAAATCAGTAGGGAGCTCCGCCCCTACTAAACCCAACAATTTTTTGGTCCGCTTATGTTGCGGTTTCACAACAGATTTTGACCAACGCCCATTATCCTTTTTGGAAGATGGCCAATCGTTTTGCTCAACACTGCTTGGTAGTGGGTGTGGGGCACTACACTCGTAAGCATAGTGTCCCAACTTCTGGCAGCGATTGTACTACTGCAATTGCTTGTTGGCTGAATTGCGAGGTCTCTCGCTCTTAACATTACAGAGCTTCATAGGTTCTGGACCTCCGGTGTCTTCTCGTCTTGGGGACGATATGAAACCGAACATGCATGATCCTGTCTCAATCTAAAGCATGCTTTTTTTCGCAACTTATATCGCTTCTTCTAGCGTATCCAGTATTAAGCAGAACATGTAGGTCTTGACGGAATCATTTGCAAGACCCTACATGAAAACAGTGATTATTGTGTAGTAATGCACCGGATTGGCCGTAATACAACTCGCAAGCATTCGTATGTGTTAAGCGTAAGTGCGTACATCACGTTTACGCTGCTTAATGTTTAAGAGCTCTGATCAATCCCTGAACTCAGCCCTTGGCAGTTCAAACGCTTGTCGGAGCCGAGTCTTAAATACCTCCAATGACCTGAACACATAAGGTTTATGCAGCCTCAGCCCTAATGCACAGGTTTTGGCATGTCCATCCAGGTTCGACTGAGCAGATGCCGGTCGCATTTTCTTATCGATTATGCGACGAGCCCTTGTGGCGTCGTCCAACGACAAAACCATCTTAGCAGGGATTCTTCCTCGACTCGTCTGTACTTTGAGATGCATGTCGTCAAAGTATCGGGTCGACGCAAGTGCATCGCCTCGGGAACAGCAGCATGTGCCTGCTGTTGCCTCAACAGTTCAAACTGTTGAGCACCCTGTTCCCTTCATAGCTCTGCTTGTTTAGAACCTAGCTGGTGAAGCAAGGCTACTTTTTTCGTGATTCGTCAAGTTCATGTTGTATGAACTTGGCGACGGCGGCATGCTGCCCATCTCAGTCTAGTGCGGACAGCATGGCAGAGACGGTATGTTCGTCCACTGTCGAATCCATTTTTCAACCGCACTCCATTCGACCTCACTTAAATAGGAGTATCTTTCACGCGTGGCGTGAAAGTCAGATTTTGGTGCTGCATCAATGCATGCGCCTCGTGCTACTTTGCACGGCAAGTGAGTAATAGTGGATTGAGTAGTGGGATCTGATCCTGATGAAAATGGGCATATTTCTGAGCTACTTCTGATAACTGATCGGAATGACCCAACCAAATAAAAAAAGGAACCTAGCCGTGTAGCATTTGCCATTTTGTAAATGAGTGGGTTTGGTCAAAATACCCATTTTAAGTAGTTATGGCATCCCTCTAGCTCACGATCCTAGTGGCCGATTGGTAGACCGCTGTAACTGGGACCGGGAGGTACCTGGATCGATATCTGGTGGGGTCGATTACAGTGCACCGTAGATAGGCCGGTATAGTAGCCGAGCAACCACGCAGAAGTGGGCGTTCTGCCAACCCGCGCAAGTCGTGTGATAGTTGGGTGGGCTGGAGGCCCTACTGGCCGAAAAGTCCCATAGCGTAATAAGGGGTGCGGGTCCTGTAAAAAGTTCAAACTGAGTCAGAGTACTCGCAGTTCACCCCAGGGTGATCTGAAGGACCACGCCGCATAAATCTCTCAACAAGTAGCCATACACCAAATTTTGATGCTGCTGAGCGGTGGCGCTGTTTTCAGCGGCGAGGTCGAAGGTTCATAGCTCGTGAAAATCCCACCGGGTTACATGCGTGGTACTCCATTCCATTTGCGAATACATCAGCCTACAAACAAGCACCATACGCAGTTTTTCTCGCTGCGCAAACGTAGCCGATACTGCTCTCCTGACCTTGTCTATTGGCTCTAATGATTTGTGAAACTATCGCACATGACTAATCGTGAATAAGGCAGGTCAACGTGTAGTTGCGTTCTTGGACTGGTTCTTACTATAATTGCTCTTGACAACTGTAGCCAGCACCTTGGCATCTGCTTACGTTGTTGTTGCAACAACAAGCTCCTCCTTGCTCGACTTGGCCGCTGGATGAACGAGACGACTTGCCCGTATGAATCTCGTCCTCGTTTGTACAGTTCTGTGTCTTTTGAGAAATGCATTTCAGATGAAACTCAACTAATGCGATTGTCGTGCAGATGCCTCTCCTGTATCGCATCCTTCGCGACTATAACTCATCTACGAAGTCCGTACAGAGCTGTACCGCACAAGGTGGAGATACATCACTGACGTTGAGCGAAGGCTTATTGAGCGTGACCTGACACAGAAAGCATTGGCTAAGCGTCAACGGGCAATGGACAACGCATTTGCAACAAAACCACCAGCCAGAAATATTGCCGCCTATCCCACCTGGCCTGTCTAGTCTAGCTGGACAAAAGATAGTCAGACATCCACTCAACAGATACGATTCAGGTTGCCCCCCTATGCGTCGGCGTTGCTCACCAAAGATACGGATGATCGGTTGATCTTCCGGCTCTTATGTGTCGTGTCATTGCCATTCTGCGATCTATAGACTCCAGTCTACCAGCTTGTGAACATCCATCGCAGAATGATCGAGCTTCTTAATAAACCACAAGAATGCTCTTGCAGGTGAAGTCTGCACAAACTGCTGCTCAATGTCACCTCCCCCAAAATCGACATCTGTACACACGTGTGAAGAATCGGGCAACACCGTGTTCAGTGCAATTTATTACGTCTTAAATGTTTGTATCTCGTCTGTACCTCGCTGCACTCCCTGCCGTGTTCGTCAACCCTCAACGTCGTTGCTGCGACCAACTGTACCGTGTCGCTTCAACCAAAGAACTCTTGCTGAATATCCGGCAATGTCGAGTTGGATGGTGAAGCTGGCGTTCCGCTACAGCTTGAAGATAACTCAAAGTACTCGATCGGGTTCACACGCTGCAGCTCCTCTGACGCGATCTCCAGTCCATCAGCAAGGGTGGCGGTTCGTAAACACCGGACACAAAATGCCATGTTACGTCGAACAACTCGTCGAGATGTGGACTGGAGGAAAGCCAACTTGTGCATGATGCTGCACGGATGACACACCTGATTCATGCATACTTGACACATCCAAGCACTCGACAACGCCTTCTTTACGGCCGATTGACAGAGCGAGCACACTCCATTTGGCCGGTCCAGCACGATGGTCTTCTTCGACTTCAGAAGCCAATTGAGCTTCTTCATCTGACCACAGTAGACGCCTTTGCGATACGACATCAAGGCTTCTGCTGTTGCGGGGACCGCGATACTTGGGTGGATGTTGCCCATCGAGTCGACAAAGCCTTTCATATAGACCTCAACCTTTCCAGGCGCTGTTTGTCGAAACAACGCGCAGATGCTTAACGTCGCGCGAACAATCTGGTACTCTTCCAACTCGCGGATCCCGGGGATCTGAAGCGAATGCAACACGCTGTAACCAATCTGCTCGCCGGTCACTTCGTCTTCAATGACTCCAGTGCCATCCAAGAAGACAAAGTCTCGAGGCCGCACCAGCTTACGAAGAAGAGGTGGAGCAAAGTCAGACACACTCCATTTAACATAGAGACCGTCAACAGGGTGTTCCGGTGTCGCGACACTGATCTCGCACAGGATTTTGCCATCGGCGATTTTGTCGGCCATGTACGCAGACTTGATCCGCATGAGTTCCATGCTGCTGTGATGGAGTCCGTACATCTGGTCGTGCAGCGATCCGTCAATAGTGCCGACGGTGAGCACGCCATGGAGTTTTCGTGAAAAGCTCATGGTCCCCACACTTTCACGCACAGCACGTCTTGTAGCTGAGATATCCCCTAGTTCTCGATCCAAGTAGGAAGCCAGGCCGTCGCGTTTCTTGATACGTTTCCACCGTTTTGTATCGACTTCGCCATTTTGAAAGGGATCTCGAAACGCTCGGTACTCGATCAAGGCATCGTCAACAAAAGCTCGAGCCAATGTCTTGAGCGCTTCTTGGTCATCTTGGTGCAGCGACAATGTTGGAAACGTGTTGGCAGGTAATGGGAACAGCATGAGGAGGTCCTTGACGAGAAAAAACAATAATAAAAACAACCAAGCGGCACTTTGTCGAAGTGGACAATGCAGCCACTACGAGTGGCGTTGGTAATTAATAATTGATCCCTATCAGACAGAACGTACAGTACGAGCGAGAGACTTTGGCCAAGTTCGACAAGACGACAGACTTGCCGTGACACACGAAGCTCAAGCCCTACAAAGGCAGGCGGTAATCTATTCGATTTAAATGACCGATCAGCACGAAACTTACCGAGGAACACCACTGGACGGCGAATATTTAGTTCTCGGTACACCTTCGGCGCTAGTGCCTCCGCCGATCGATAGCACTTTCCAGACCACAAATGGATCGATTATCGCCCCTCGGAGCGTCTTAGTTGCGTCGGTAGTTGACTAGTTGTATGAGCGAAAACGATAAACATTTTAACACCTTGCCTAAACGTTCGACCGCGCACGACGACCTGGTCAAACGTCACGGTTGGCGAGCAACGTGAAACAAGCAAAGCGGCATGCTGGCGAAACTCAATCCTCTCGAGTCTTGCCATTACGTGTCCGTGTACGGTGCTGAATGATTCGTGCAAATGCGCAAGTGCTTTCCTACCAATCATTAGTTTGGCGACTTGACATGACGTGTCGAAGCGCGAGCTCTCCCGACTTAAACTATGTCATCAAACGATTGGTCCCCAGCCGACTCTATGTCATCCCCATCAGCACGCGTGACAATGCGCAACATGACATCGACATTCTCGCTCATGTTGTTATCGAAAGAGTCATTAGACTTCATTTCTAGAGTCGCACTTCAAGCGATAAATTCGGCTCGCGGATCTCCAATGTTCGATTTTCGGTATTTTATTTACTGGACAGCACATCAGCTGTTGTAGAGTTGTCCCGGGGTCGTAATAACGACTCCAATCAATTTGAAACAGACAGGCGGACGTTCGTACGTGGATGCTTGGACATTCCTGGGAGATAGTACCGTCCAGTCTGTCCTCGAGGTATTACGAACTCTGGTCTTCGTCCTCTTCACGACTTGAACGTTAGCTTTGCCACTACTAGCAGCATACGTCCATTCGGTCAAAGGACCGTGAAGCTCTTGTTGTTAATTGCATGTGCTCACATGGAAAGTGGGTGGAAACCCTGTCTCACCCAAGATGACACGATCGAGACTGCTTGTAGTAGAGAGTAAATCATGCAGGCGGCGTTCTGTACAGTCGGCAGACGAGCGGGGATGGAACCGGCGCTACTGTCGCCACTTAAGGAACTGGATACGATCACGTGTGTAGCGTCTGGCTCGCTAAGAGAGACTGATTATGGTGGTGCACGGCCGCGTGACGTCAACTGTTACGTCTGATACATCACTGAGAGAGAGAGAAGTTCAGCTTGTCTATTCACACGTTGAGACTATGTACAAGATCTCTGGAAATCATGAGCGCCAGCACTCCCAATGGCTGATCGTGACGAGTCAGTTAGAAAATCGAAGACACTTTAGATAGTTGAAAGAACATAGCAGTGTAAGCAGTGCAGGTGCCTCTCGCAGGGCTATCTCGACTCCACGTTGTTCACGTTTCGGATAAACGCCTCTCACTCTTAATCGATAATACTTTGACGGTGTTAGCTGCAAAGCACCACCGCGTGTGGTACAGCACTGTATCACGTGTAGTCGTGATCGAGAACTTCCTCAAAACCTTGAAGCTACTGAAACGACTCGACACTCGTCGTTCGAACCCTGGCGCCTTACCAGAAGAAAAACTGTGTTTACATGCACATACCTTCCTCGAACGCAAGCCTGTAAAGCAAATCACACGGCACACATACTGGACGACCGCAGATACGACAGAGCTTCGTTGGAAAAGGCTCTTTGGCATGAGAGCAGTTCGAGTCGTGGGGATGAAGTGTCGTCATTGAAGCATCTGCAGCTGGACACGCAGCAGAAATGGCAGCAGGAACAGCTCGGCTTTTTTTCCGGAAGGACGCAGTGTCCTCTCCGATAGCTGTCTCTTCCTCCACGTCGTTCTTGAAAGTGCAGAGAACTGATCGACCGGGGCGTTCACCAACCTCATTCTATAGTGGCTTCATCAACGTTAGAATTGATTGCCAGCACAGGTGCTATAACATTTTTAACGATCGAAGACGTATAAGACCAGGTTTGTAACGGGGCACCCTGAAGCTTGTACTGGTGACAGTACAAGCTACTTATTCTGATAACAGAATAAGGCGGTGCCTCGTAACTTCACGTACACTCGTACGTGCAGAGGAAGACGGTAAGAAGAAGCGAGTACTTGGTTAGAGTAAAAAGTAGAACTGTATTTATAATAGTTAATGTCTGCAATAAATCACTATTTATCTTCATCTAACTATGTCTAAATACAAATGTGTAAATCAGTTATCTGCTCACCACTCATTGCGTGCGTCTGTCGTGGCGCGTCTTCGTTGGTTGATATAATGGCCTATATCAACCAATTAGGAACTACTTGGAAGTGCTACAGAATATTGTCCTTATGACAATATTCTGAGAATATAACTCTTATAGTTATATTCTATTAACAATTTCTTATAAATTGTTATGTAACGATTCACCCCGTTACATCACCCCCCCTTAACCATCAGTCACTTTAGTGACTGATTGACTAAATGGATACTCGTCCCAAATCATTTGGGACGGGGTTTGCACTTGTTGGTCCGCGTCCACTTTCCAACATCTCATCGCATGGTAAACAAGCCCATGCGATGCGCGAGACAAGGCCGCCGAGAGCGCGTCTGCACGTCTCTGTGCGGACGCCGAAGCAGAAACTACAGCAACTGATGTCCCATCGGTTGCTGAATCGACTCAGCCTGTATCACCTGGTGATGCAGGCGCTGGTCATGAAGACACTCGTGTCTTCACAGAGTACGAGCTCGGTGTCTCGTACTCTCCTGATACGGATGACGGATCCGTATCGACGGCAATTGAATCCAAGCCGCCTGCCAAGCGTGGCATGGACGATGCTTTGCGTCGCAGCATCTTTGGTTCATCTGATGAGTCAGATGAACCATCGCCGAAGCGAAGGCGCTCGAGGTCGCGAGACTCGGGCGCTAATAGTGGTGTCGTTTCTCCAATGGACACCACTTCACAGCGAGGTGCCAGTACTTCTGTCGGCACTTCGCAGGAAGAGCGGGACCGCAATGTGTTGCGTCTCGCTCCAGAAAAGAAGGCATGGATGCCTCCTAAATCTGTCATGGATCACTTGTAGGCGACGACGAGTGATCGTTATCGAACACGATTGTTCGATTCGTCGAGGATTCATCACCTTGACCCCAGCGCGAAAGACTATCGCGCTGAACATGAGTTCTTCATCGATGCTTTCTTCAGACATCGATGGTACAGTGGGAATCACAAACGTGATGGTCCCTCACTACTTCAGGCGTGGAACGCCTACATCCATAATCTCGAGGATGTAGGTCGTGACGCTTGGAACGACAAACTTATCAAAGCTCGTGATAAGTTTGAAAAGCGAACCCCGACAGGTGCACGCTATAAGCTGCATCGTCTGTCAAGGGAGAAAGGATTACCCTGCCTTTCTTGGGGAGACTCGTGCCCATGTTGTGTGAACAACTCTGCACGAGCACCTAAGGAGGCTTACCTCCTTACCAGCCCGTGGTGGCGCGTACGTGTCTCTACTGAGATGTACGAAGGGATTGACAACCTGAAATCCCTTTACGACCGTGCCGGGAAGACTTTCTCCGGCGGTCCTTCTGCGGCACAGGATGTGTCGCGTCGTACTGCTCGACCAGACCCAGTACGTCAACCATCAATTGGGAGCGGGGCTCCCAAGAATCCCAGGACGGGGGATAGCCGCGCCACCGGACGAGGTAACTCGTCCGACGTCCGTTCACGTCGCGGTGGTTCAACAGCTGCTCAACTAGATAGCGCTGGCCACCGCGAGAGTCCTCTAATGGAGGTGGAGGAGGAGGAAAGACGCTCTCCACACGATCATGTGGATCGGTGTGTTCCCGAGAGCTTCTTTGATCGCGTAACGCAAGGGTTACGCGACGATCTCGAGCATGAGCGGAATAGGCGTCTCCAGATGGTGGACACTGCCTCGAAGCATCGAGCTGAGTTTGCCTTTGCTCAGCTTGAGAACGAGAGATCTCTGACATCTCTTCGTGACGAGCTAAGGGTAGCTCGTGGGATTGTTGATCGGTCTCGGGCTGAGATAACTGCTCTTCAGACCCTTGTTGATGCCCACCATCGGGAGCACAAGGCTCTCTGCGAGATGCTTGAGCGCAAGGGCGTTCTTCATCGGAAGAAGCAGCGTACTGATGGTACGGCTTAAGCCGACCAACGTAAAACGTGGGATGCGTTCGCATCTTACGTGGTAACTCGATCGTGTATGCATTGCCTAGGCGGTGCAATACACGAAATGGGCCGATGTACTTGGGTAGTAGTTTACTGCTACCCAAGTTAGTCACTACATGTTTTGGTAGATTAACCGTAGACAGTAGGACTAAGTCACCTTTATTAAATAAAAGAGTGTTTGCCCTTCCATTCTTGTCAGCGTTTTGCTTTTGCTTATCCACCGCTTCGGCGATGGAGTCTTGCACAAAACGGACTACCGTTTCACGAGCCAGTATGAACTCATCTGATGACTCGTTAGCTTCAGTGTGCTGTGAGCGCACTGCAGCGACAACAACCTTTTCTTCAGTGAGGGCTTCCGCACTCTCACTGGGATCATTGTCTTCAGTGAGGGCTTCCGCACTCTCACTGGCATCATCTTCTTCGATATCGATGTTATCGATATCGGCATCAAACGCAATGACTTCTTCGTCAGAGCGTGATGAGCGTGAACCAAATCGGTTTTTGCTCGCGCGAGTCCCTCCCCCCTTAAACCAGAGTTACACTCTAGTAAGGTGGGTACACGCGGATGGCGCAAGCCATTCACGTAAAACGGTGTATGTGTCGTGGACGCATGCACCGAGTTGTTGATGGCAAACTCTACCATCGGCAAAAACTCACTCCAACTCTTAAAGGAGTGTACGTATCCTCGAAGTATCTCTTCAAGGACACGATTGGCACGTTCCGTCTGACCATCTGACTCTGGATGATCAGATGTTGACATCTTCAAGCGCGTTCCGAGTGATTTGAACACGGAACGCCAGAAATCAGCAGTGAATCGTGGATCTCTGTCTGATACGAGTTCACGGGGCAACCCATGAAGTCGGAAGATGGTGTCAATAAAGACACAAGCACAGCCACTTGCCGTGATTGTCTCTGGTACAGCCACAAGGTGTACCATTTTGCTGAATCTGTCAACAAATACGAGAATACCCGTATTCCCGCGTGCGTCTTTGGGTAACCCGAAGACGAAATCCGTGAGATGGATTCCCAGCACTCAGCCGGAACCGGTAGAGGCTGTAAAGGTGCACGCAGTGAAGGACTTGACTTCACTCGTTGGCAGACTTCGCATGCGCGAACATACTTTCGCACAAACTGATACTGGCGGGGCCAGTAAAAGTCTCGACTTACCGTGAGATATGTTTTCTCTCGGCCACGATGTCCTCCTATAGGAGCATCGTGATACTCGAACATGATCCGCAAACGCAGATCAGTATCATCTGGAATGACAACACGTGGTGTGTCACCAGAAACGGCTGTATAGTACAGTAAACCGTTACGAGTAGTGTATCGATCTGATGCAGATCGATACGCGGACGACAATCGTTTCAACGATTCTCGAGATGGTTGGGAGAGATGTGACAACAACTTCACTATCTCACCATCTTGGGCGTATGCCCGCCTCACATCATCATACAACGTTGTAGATGGAACTGAGGACGTCATAACCGCAACAGTGACTGTCTCACTGTTGGGTTTCGCGACTGTTTCAAAGTCGGGACGACGTGAGAGTGCATCAGCGACGACATTAAGTCGTCCTGGTTTGTACTCGACCGTAAAGTTGTATTCTGCAAAGAATGACAACCACCGCGCCATTCGTTGTGAAAGGTGCGGGCTGTTCACTGCCGTGCGTAAGGACGCATGGTCAGTGTAAACAACGAAGGGTCTATCTCCTAATAGATAGACTCTGAACTTCGCGAGTGCATACTTCATGGCAAGGAGTTCCTTGTCATGCACTGGATAGTTCCGCTCAGCTGGTTGCAGCTGACGCGACTGATAGCAGACGACGCGTTCAACGCCTTCAAGGTCGTACTGCATTAATGCACAGCCGATTGCGAAATCGCTGGCATCACAGACCACATGAAATGGCCTGTCCTGATCGGCTATTGCTAGGACTGGGGATTGTATCAAGCTCTGCTTGATACCCTCAAAGGAGCGTTGACATTCAGCGTTCCATAACCACCTCTCGTTCTTTTTCAACAAACGAGAGAGGTGTACAGTCATCTCGGCGTAATTGCGTGAATACTTATGCAAATACGCCGCTAGCCTAAGGAATTTTCGAAGACCTTTGACATCGACCGGCACGGGCCAGTCGGTGATCGCCTTGATCTTTTCGGGATCAGGACGTACACCGTTCTTACCAACGATGCACCCAAGAAGTGGTATTTCGCTTGCTGCAAATATACACTTCTTGAGGTTTGCATACAATTGATGCTTTCGCATGATTGTAAGAACTTGTCGGACGTGGTACTTGTGAACCTCAACGTCCGACTTTCCATCCATAGCTCGACTATGGATGAATACGTCATCGAAATAACTCGGCGCGAATTCTCGTACTGGCCTCAACAGATGTGATACACACCTGTTGAACGTGGCAGGGGCATTACTGAGCCCTTGTGGCATTACTAGCCATTCCCAGAGCATGCCGCTAGGCGTGCTAACTGCGGTATAGGGTATATCCCGTTCCCGCATTAGGATTTGATAGAAGCCATCCATCAAATCCATGGACGAAAAGATGGTACTCTTTGACATACCATCAATGATTACGTCCTTCCTCGGTATCGGCGTCTGAGCCGGTACCGTTGCAGCGTTCAATTTGTTAAACGCGTGCACTATCCGCCACCCTCCTGTTGCTTTTCGCACACAGAAGGTCGGAGAGCTATGTGGGGAAGTTGATTCCCTCACATGGCCCGCTGCTAAACGATCGGCAAAGAACTTGTCGATCGCAAGTACTTGTTCACGAGGCAGTGGCCACTGCTTCATGACACAGTACTTCGAGCCTGGTTTAAGCTCGACTTCGTGTCGAATACCTTTATCCTTCGGTAATTCGCACGGAACAGTTTCAGGGAATACATCCTTGAATTCAACCAAATCTTCATAGAGAGGATTTTCCTTGAGCGATTCCCATGATTGGGACTCATATCGCTCAATTCGTGTCTTTTCATCTAGGACACTCTCGTCCATAGATGAACTACTGAGAACTCTCTCGTTCTCAGTAAACACTGTTGCTGACCTTATGTCGGTTACATACTCGTCGTCAGCGACGAGTATGCAGATCTGCTTGACTTTGCCACTACGCAGATCACGCAAGAATCTTTTATGTTCGAGCGTTGGCAACTGAGTGATCTCCGAAGTTAACTTCGGAGGCGCAATCAGATCAAGTGTATAAGCGCCTACACATGATCCGTTATTGACTATGACATTCAATGTCTCTGTCATTTCCTGGGGACTTATTCCCTCAGGCTTCGAAGGACTTATTCCTTCGTCTTCCCGGGGACTTATTCCCGCGGGTTTCGGGGAACTTATTTCCGCCGTATTTGTAATCTTGGGACTTATTCCCTTTACTTCCTCTAGCTGGGGTTGCGCAACCACAGCGAGATCCTCTACGAAAGACTCTCCAGTCGATCTAGGATTATCGTTTCGCTTAACCTGAGCGATCGATTGTTTCTCTTCTAGATGTTCCCCTCTAGGGATACATCTTTGTCCCAGTCCACCCGACTTATTCGAGTGGTGGACCTTCGGCGCAGCCTGTGTTTCCTCACAGCCGCCGGAACTTTGCTCCGAAGTGTAACCGTTTGGTACACTAAGGTTTTGTGCAGTCGTACTAACGACCGTACCACAAGTGAGGCCATCGCACTCACTCGTAGTACATCCACACGCTTGTGGACTCTCCAAAACGTTCATCAGATGGCCATCTGATGAACAAGCGGCAGGCATCGTTACTGTCCGATGTTGCCAGTTTACCCGTGGTTCGTACCTTCTGAGCCACGGTATTCCAAGGATGACATCAAATTTGTCATCCAAATCCAATACGATAAAGTCATCGTCAGTATTGGGTATCTTCTAGCGTATAGTGAA